AAAAAAATAGTCAAAAGTGACAATCAAAAATGAATCTTTTAAGCCAGAATTTTTGCCATTTTTTTTTTATTTGATTGCGTATACCGTTGAACAAAAAAAAAATGCCTGCATTAACATTACAATTTTGGACAACTAAAAAAACGTGTTGCGCGAACTGATGCGCACGTTAATGTTTTCTTTTTGATTTTCCTTTTTCGAACATATATGCAACAATGATCTAACGATCGTGTAACTTTTTTCATTTCGTTGTTTGCTTTCAATTTGTTTATTTTCTTACAAAATTTGTTGTTAATTATCAAATCAATCGATCGAATAATAAATTGTTCAGTGTTTTGGCAGACCATTGTTGAATATTGATTTTTTTTGCAAACAAAACTAAATTTTCAAGAAAAAAAAATGAAAAAAATACCAACCGATACTTGTGTGGATATCGAATTATTTCAAAATGATTTCAAAGATATCGATCAAGAATTTATTATAAGCATCGTTTCTATTTTTAAAATAACCAAGGAAAGCAAGGAAATTGGTTTTCTATGTATGACCAATGATGCTACTTATGCTTATGGTTGTGAAATATGCGAATGGCTATCGTTACAACATGATCCAAAACGACCACAACAGATTAACATTTTGAATGGCAAGAAAATTATTCAAGTCTTTTTTTTTGGAATGAATCTTCATTGAAAAAGAAAATAGTTTTTTTTAATTTCGAAATAATTATTATGTATTTAAATAGGCCGAAATGGTACTGTAATTCGTAGAATTCGAGAAATGACCGGAACTGAAATCATTTCACCACAAAATCATTTGAATAAATGGATGACAAATAATTTTCGTCGCCCATCACAATGTACAATTGCTACCGGAATCTATTTTCTACAACGATTTCGTGATCTGATTTCACCAAATCCTGATGAAATTTGTTATCGATTACCAGTGCGATCAGATTTAGTTCCATCGATTCTTGCAAACAATGCAATGAAAATTATTCGGATTCAATGGTCTACAGATGTACGTATTGTATCACCAAAACCTTATTGTATTCCTAAATTTGCTTTGGATCATTCATCACATTATTATTTATTGGATATTCCTTATATTCATTCCAAAGAATTGGTCAAAAAATTGGATGGTCAAATGAAATCATTTGCTGCAGCAGCATCAAAAATAATCTCATCACCAATCACTTTTGGCCTAACATCAACCTTCTATACATACAAATCGAATGATACAATATCAAATATTGGATTATTGGATAATCCTGATAATTATGATATTGAATTTGTTATCGATGACAAACGTATATTGGCTTCGAAATGTTACCTGCGAATGGTATCAAAATATTATAGTCGAATGTTTTCGGGTGATTGGCAAGAAAATAATAGGGTAGTCGTCAAAGATTATAGTTACGATGTATATATTTCGTATCTACGGATGTTACATACTGGTCGTATTCGAATCAATCAATCCAATATAGCTGAACTTATTGATTTGGCCAATTGTTATGGTGATGAACAATTAATGAAACATTGTCGAACATTCATACAAACGGACCTGAATGAACAAACATTATCCATTTATTTTCCTTTGATTGATAAATATGAACTTGATGAAATGCATGACAAACTTGTCCAACTAACCATCGAAGATGTTTGGCCAAAAATCCGAAATAATATTTTGGAAAACAAAAAAAATATTATGAAATTAATTGGACCACTTTTTTCTGAACAACAATCTTTTTTTTGGGAAAAAAAAATAGTCAAAAGTGACAATCAAAAATGAATCTTTTAA